ACCATAAGCGGGCTGTCTAGCATACTTGTCAGACATCTTAACACAGTAAAATGACTCAGCTGGCGCATAATGCAAAAGCCAATCAATTTGGGGCTACGCAGGATTATTTGCTCCGCTGGGTACACGAAAACAGTTACTTCTGAGCCCGGACTCTCCAGTGCGCATCAGGTAACGAGGAAACGGAAAGCTGTTCGAACCTCAGGGTCACCCCCCCTGGGGTTAAGTATGGCTGAAGCAAACGACCAAAGGGATTGGCAAGGTATTTCAGACGAACTCACCCCGACTCATGGTGTTAAGTCAAATCGACGGGGAAAGTAAGAAGAATATATCGCCTATACCGCCTCTCCTGATGGCCGGGACTGACAGGGTAATTGAAGGTGGCAGACTAAATAGCTTAACCATAAGCCGATGACTAGGTCCCTAACCACAACCTCTTATCTTAAGTCTGAGTCCAGCCATAACTGTTAGACTTAAGGCTTAACTCGGTCCCCAACACTAAACTCTCATCCTAGACATCCAAGGAAGTGGTTGAGCAACAAGACAACGAACACGTGAGTCAATGGGTTAGAGCGTTGGACTCCTGATCAAAAAGGTCGTCAGAAATGGCGATTAGTTAGTCGAATCGTCAAGCGGCTACTTTTAATGAATCATGATAGCACATACAATGTGATTTTGGTGGGATTTTGGTGGTGGTGGTGGTGGTGGTGGTGGTGGTGGTGGTGGTGGTGGTGGTGATGATGATGATGATGATGATGATGATGATGATGATGATGATGATGATGAAAGATGATGATGATGATGATGATGATGATGATGATGATGATGATGATGATGAGATGATGATGATGATGATGATGATGATGATGATGATGATGATGATGATGATGATATTTAGACCATCGATTTCAATGAAGTCCAGGAGCAGGGAGGATGACTGAAGACAGAGACGAGATATAAGTGAAATAGATGCGCAGCCGTCTACTCCAGTCTAAACTCTCAACCCCTTTTGCACCGGTGACAAGACAGAGTCAAGAAGACCAAACGGGATCCGGCGTAGGCCGCTTTATCCAGTGACCAAGCTCATGTAATGCCATGCGCGGAATAGGAATGAGTAAGCTAGCGTACATTTGCTTTTTTAATTTTGATTTTTTGATAAAAATTGAGGCGTGCTCAATCTTTCATATTGAAGGAAAGCAGGCAGGATTCGGGAAAAGTCGGAGGTTTTCGGAGAGTAAATACACTTCCTACGCTATTTAGTATGCCAGCAGAAAACCTACTGCTTGCTATGCAAGATTATTCATATGAGCAATACGTGTTCCAAAAAACAAAGATTTTCAAGTTGCCTACCGGACACCAGCCAACTTCTCCAGGGGCTTACGCCAACAGGTGCTAGCAACAGCCGAGGCAGGGGCTATACGGCTAGCGAATCAAGTGCTGTGCTGTCAAAAGACGCTATTACAGACACTCTCACTTCGGTGGCCGAAGCCGATGCCAGTATGAGTAAGTATTTGGAACATTTGGCGGATAAACGTGTAGCCAATAAAAACGCACGAAGGATGACCAACAGACTAGCAGGCGTTTCAACGTTTTTACGTATTGTATTTATTATTATAGTACTTAAGATAATTTTTTTTCAAAATTATATAAAAAAGGAAATGGTAGTTAGGAGGTCGTCTACTTCAACTTACCTGAGGCCCAACTTACCGTTCTGGATTTAGATTAGTATAGTCCGCGGCACGAAGCCCGCGCTTAGGAGGTCGTCTACTTCAAATTACCTGTGGTCCAACTTACCGTTCTGGAGTTAGGCTAGTATAGTCTACTGCGCGAAGCGCCGTGCACACCTTCAATTTACATGCGAAATAACTTACAAGAAGCCTTGAATGTGTTTGCTTCGAGTTTTTGGAAACTCTTCACAACAAATAAAACATTAAAACGCCCGCCAATATTTAGGACGGTCATGCCACACGTTCATTGGTTTAAATTATCCGCCACATTTGTCCAAATGGGGTCTCTCGACGCCAGGTGGCCAGGTGGCCATTGTTCCCATACCTTGGCGATAGCCGTTCACTCCTTTGGACGTAACAGTGATTTTCGCTCTGCGTATTCGACCCACGATTAATGCTCCTATTCCCCCCGCTCCACCCCCTGTACAATTACCTCTACACGCCGATCTCGCCATGCGGGCAGTGTGAAAGTGTGAGTTTTAATCATAAGAAATTTAGTAACTCTGTCCAACCCTACTGTTTTCATTATCAATGCAATTGTACCGGCCCGATGATGAATTGCCGAAAACATATGTTTGTCAAATAGAATTTTCAACTTAAACATGGGAATATTTGCGGAAAATAAGTTTCTTAATTGTATGTGCAACCAACCTCGTCTGAAGCATCATCCCCCGTTGTCTCGTCGCCGAGGATGCGATTAACTTCAGCTCGCAGAAGTTGAAGGATAGCAGGCCGGTTCCCAGCCTCATCATGTTTCGATATCAGCACTGACGAGATGCTGGACGTTCGATAATTCTCGTAAATGACGTAAAAGATAACTGCAGCAAGCAGTAGGAGGATCAGCTTGCCTTGAACCCCTGATAGAAGGGGCATGGTTCTTTTCTGTGTAGCAGGTATGGAGACATGCCAAGTCGGAAAACTGTGAGGAGCGTGAACCAATCGGAGGACGCCTTCTTTGATTTGGTTAGAATTTCCACCAATAGCAGTGGACGAGAAGCTGTGAGGGGTTATGCAGGCATAGAATACCGCGTATGCTTATCAAATCTTATCCGTTTTTGGCGTACTAAGGGTGGGTGGACGATAGCATATTGCTCAATCCTATTGAGACCCTAAGATCAGGAAACAAGTAAGAGTCAGCAGTCTTGTCGGATTTTCTCGTCCCCTATCAAACTGACTACAGTAATGGACTTTAAATTAGAAATCGCAAAATTGTATGTGAAAATAAGTGCGACCACCGGTTCAGTTCATTCCGATGCTTTCAGCTAATATAAGATATCCAAACTACCACCGACTTCTAACTTGAGGGTTTAAAGCCTTTAGCGCACAGTAAGGCGTCCTAATCGGGTCCTTGGATTCACGTATCAGGTCCCAGCATTTTCGGCAGTGCTCAAACGTATACGTGGAGCTATAGAAAGCAGCTCAGGTCTTTATGCATACATAACACCCAGATTGGCCTGGTTACACATTGATTAATATAAAAGTTTCCGTTAACTCACTACAACCAGCAAGTAAGTCATTTTAAATAAAGTTAGCCAGAACAACAAGGCCTTTGCCCTTGAACTCCCTATTTGAATCTGAAAAGGCATTAGCATAATTTTCACAGCAGTAATTTAGGCAGATATTATTACCGGCAAAGAGCGTCTGACTCTGAGCAAGGAGGTCACGAGTTTGAGGCTTGGGTGGGAAACCACTTGGGTCTGAGTGTGACTGGCTGATGACGGCTAATAAGCCAGAAGTGGTCATTTCAGTCTCACTTGTCTTTGCTGGCAATACTATCTGCCTACACTACCAGCTGCTATGGCTGTCAGGGGCTCTGTCGAGACCCCAGGCAGAGCGGGACAGATGAGTTCCGTTAGCGGTCGGGTGAACGTTCATCAATGAGTGAAAAATCGATCAGCCCATGGCCGACACGTTCATTGCTGATCGACAACAGCAGTTTACGCCTTTACAAAAGATGAGCCAGGCCAGCTCTCTGAGGCGTCCGCGAACGCTTAAACTCATTCTATTGGGCAACAATATTACCTCTGATTGCCCATTTACTAAAGTCTTCTCTACATTGTGTACTGGCAGTCCAATGCCTGAACTGCGTAAGTCAAGGGATGGGGGTGGGGGGAGGGTGGATGTAAGGAAAAGATTGGCAAAAATGATTTTTAGGGCCCACTAGATATCTATTCCCCCCGCCCAACTGCTTAAAGTATTTTGCGGTTAAACATTTAATTCTTTGCTAGTGAGCGTAAATTAATATCTAATTGTGGCAGAACTGATCAAAAATATTAAATTAAATAAGATTCTGTTTGGTTTAATATGCTAAATAAAATAAAATTCAATCAACATAAGCCTCTATTGCGTAGAATACGACAGCTAATAGAGGGAAATTTGACCTTATGTAGGCGGAATTTAAAGAAAAGATTGAAAGGAAGAAATAGTTTATGTAGGCCCACTTATATACCCCTAGTCCCAGCATTTTGTCCTGCAAAAA